TGATGTCTGTTTCTTCAGATGATGGCTAATGCCCTGCCCAACTCTAATGGTCTAGGGGTCCACTTGAAAGGATTGTCATACATTAACAGTTCTGAGAGAAAGATAGAAAGATCATTCATTCAACAAATATACACTGAGTGGCCAGATTATTATGACCACCTGATGTTTGTAGGCAAATTAGCCATACACTGCATCGTATGGGATATGGAAGCCGAAGGCCTGCTCGAACACCTTTGCTGTCTGCAGTTACCAAGATAAAGCCTCTCCAATTCCCACAGGAAGACAAGGATTGGACAGTCGAGCATTGGAAAAAAGTCATGTGGTCCAATGAATCACGTTTCCAGTTGCATCATGCAGATGGCCAAGTGAAAATTTGGCGGAAACAGCATGAAAGCATGCAACCCACATGTATGGGTACAACCCTTCAAGCTGGTGGGGGCAGTGTTATGGTTTGGGGCATGTTTTCCAGGCATAATTTGAGCCCTTTAATTCGTGTAGAACAACATCTGAATAGCACAACATACCTAAGTATCATTACTGATTAAGTTCATCCTATCATGCTAATGGCATATCCCAATGGAGATGGCTTCTTCCAACAAGACAATGCACCATGCCACAGTGCCCGTATTGTGCAGGAGTGGTTTCAAGAACATGAGGGAGACTTTACCTTGCTTAGGTGGACCCCACAATCACCAGATCTCAATCCAGTTGAGCATATGTGGGATGAAGTTAAAAGAGCCATCAGGCAGCTGGTTCCACAACCATCAAATCTCACAGAACTGGACAGTGCTATTCATCAGGCATGGTGTCAGATTCCTCACATCACCTTTCAACATCTTGTGGAGTCAGTGCCAAGAAGAATCGCCGCAGTATTGAAGGCAAAGGGTAGTCCAGCGAAGTACTGATGGGGTGGTCATAATAATCTGGCCACTCAGTGTACATATTTATTTAACAAATATGTATTCAGCATCTACTGAATGACTGGATGCCAGGTACACAGGTGAATAAAAAAACCCAACTCTGCCCACTGACAGCTTATGACTTGATCATAGTGGGGTTACTGGCCAAAATCTTTCATTGAGGATCTTGGATAAACAAAATTATAGGCCTATCATCAGCATACTGTGTTTTGATTGTATGTTGCGTTTGCTAGTTCTCTCATGGTTGTGTGAGTGTGTGCATGTGTGTGTGTGTCAGGAATAGGTGGAAGAGAGAATGCTGTTAAAAATAGCCACACTCAACATTACCATGTTTCAAATTCCTGAAACAAACAAAAACAAATCAACAATAACAAGACTGACTGGGTATGTCCAGTGCAGGTGTCCCCTTCCTGCTAATATGCAGTTTTCCGAATCACACTATTGTTGCTCTCTCCTGCCAAGATGCCAACAGGAATGC